ACACAGCTATATTTAATGGTTATTTCTGAAATTTTATTTATTTACTTATTTATTTTTTAATTTATAATCTTCATGAAGTAGCTTCTCACTTCTCTCATGATCTGTTGTTTTCCCTTGGCTTGGCAGGCTTCCTTGTAACTTGAATTCTAAAAGGTCTTTTAATAAAAAACCCGGAGCCAAATATTGGGGTAAATGCTGAGAGAGCAGAGAGACAAAGGAACAAGCCACTGCCGCATCTCACCTCTCCAGCTCCAGGAATCTTCTGACTGAAATACTCTGAGTCCTCACCCGAAAGGCTCCAGCTGAAAAAGCCCCTAGCTGAAAGGGACGCTTCTGCTGAAAAACCTTTAGTTCTGTCTCCTCACGCCTTATATACCTTTCTCTGCCCAGCCATCACTTCCTGAGAGTAAAGACATGTGTGATTAAAGGTGTGTGCCACCACTGCCTGGCTGTTTCTCTCCTAGACTGAGTCAGTCTCATATAGTCTAGGGTGGCTTTGAACTCATAGAGATCCAGACGGATCTCTGCCTCCCAAGTGCTAGGATTAAAGGTGTGTGCCACCACTGCCTGGCCTCTATGTTTAATCTTGTGGCTTGTTCTGTTCTCTGATCTTCAGGCAAATTTTATTAGGGTACACAATATAACACCACACCCCCTTTGGGTTTTCCTCTTCTGTTCTTAGTCCTTCCTTGTGCAGAAAACTGTTGACGTCGTTGATCTTGAACTGCTTGTTTAAACAGTTTTCTCGTAAGACTGGCCCGTGTTTGGAACGTGCCTCCAGGTGGTCCCCACACTGACGTAAAACTATCAGTAAGTGATGAGGACGGCTCCTTGTGCCGCAGCCTGTGTAAAGCACGTGGATGCTGACTATTTACTTTCTCTGGGGAAGCCTAGACTCTTGGCTCTCTAATAGCTTCCTGGGAGATAGCACTCCATGTGGGTTGTCACAGCCTGTGGCTGAAGGGACTGCTGCGTTGTGTGTGACCCCATCAGGGAAGAGCCCTCGGCAGCTGGTGCCCAGCTTCTGCTGGGTTTTGCTGCAAACGCCTCTTCCTTTTGCTAATTTTGGTTTTCATCTTTTTACTATAACGAAGTATAGCTGTGAATACAGTGATGTCTTGGTTGTTTGTTATGTAATGTGAAAGGAAGAAATGCTCTATGGGAATTTGTTTTGAACAGTGCTGATTGTGAGTACCTTCTTAGGTGAATTAATGTAAGAGTGATTGTATACTTTAGGTTTAAGTATTTTTTTAATCCCACAACTATTTACAGAAGTCTAATACTTCTTGACTGTTGGTCCTGAAGCATAATGTTAACTGCCATTGTCATTGATGCTTATGTGAGGTGACATCACTTTAAATGACACTAATACTTTTCTTGCCACTAGAATCACCAGGGACAACAGCTAAGTAAGTCTCACTATGTTTCTTAGCTCAAGTTAAGTGCCACTGTTAGTGCTTTATGGAAATGAGTAACTATTGAAATTGCTCTGTACAGTTCATTTTATTTACTGACATTTTACTGTATTCTTGTTATCATTGTGTGTATGATGTGTGTGTGTGAATGTGGGTGCAGATATGACAGAGGATGTGGAGGGCAGACAACTTACTGGAGCCGCTTCTTCCTGCGGGGTCCAGACTGAGCTCAGGGCAGGCGCTTCTAGCCACTGAGCCGTCTCACCAGACCCTTTTAATTTTATGACCCACCTCTAACAACGTAAGAGTTTAGCACTAGGTGACACAGCTCAGAGTCAGATAGATGGTACTTATCTTGACTAAACCTAAATTTATACAATAATATATATATATTAATATATATATAATATATATATATTAATATATATAATGTATAATATATATTAAATATATATATTATTGTATAATATAAATAAATAAGTAAAATGAGACAAGGTCTCACTGTGTAGCTTTTCCTTAGAACTTGCTATATAAACCAGCCTGGCTTCAAACTAGATCAACTGCCTCTGCCTCTCGAATGCTGAAATGAAAGGGGTACACTACCATTCCAAGCTTATATTAGATTTACTAATAATGCAGGAAGCGTTCTCTATGATTGCTTACTAAGCCAGTGGTACAAATAGTATTTGAATCAGTAGTGGAAAGCAAATTCCTTTTGCCGTGCAGTACTGGGGGTCGGCTCCAGGTCTTTGTGCCTCTTAGGCCAGCACTCTAGCACTGAGTTACATCCCTGCACCTCCTGACTTTGTAGACAGGGTCTCCTCGAGGCCCAGGCTGGGCTCAGGCTCACTCTAGTCCAGCAAGCCTTAAACTTACAGTCTGTGATGTGCTTCAGCTCTGGAGTACCTGGGTTTGTGAAGAGCAGTACTCTTAATAAAGTTGGACTTTATAGGGTCAGTAATTATTACCGAACACAGTTTCAGATTTTTCTTCCAGTTCTTCTAGAGAGGCCTACAAATAGAACTCAGAATTGTAGTAAAAGACACTGTAGGACTGTGACTTCCAGGAAGCTGCAGATGGCTTGTCTTCGGCCTGGGAAGGCTGGCCTGTAGGAAGATATCACCCTTTGAGCATTGTCATTTTCTCCTTGACACCATAGATGTCCATTGTGACTTCATGTCATTAGATATGTAGCGCTGGTTATTAGTTACTGTTAGCCCTCCCTCTGTGTAACCAAACTGTTAAAAAGCAGACATGAAACCCAGAGAGAATGGCATTCTTGCCCCTTCCTTCTCATTGCTTCCTCTTGCTCAGCCATTCATTTATATGTTCAGTTTCAAATTTTTTTTTATTTTTTGAGACACAGTCTCGTGTTTCCTAGACAGGCCTCGAACTCCCTATGTAGGTGACAATGACCTTGAACTTCTGGTCTTCCTGCCTCTATCTCCTGAGTGCTGTCATTACATGTGTGTGCCACCATGCCCAGACCATTTCTGCATTGATTTGGTACCCATTCCATGGTTATCAATTGTTACAAAGTTGTTTATAGCATGGGCTTGTTTTCATTAATCTCCTTTAGTTCCACACTCATCCTCCTGCTGAATGAGAGGGAGAATGCATGTAAATGAAGCCCATTATTTTGTATGCTAATTAAAACAATTAAAAGTTGGGGCTGGAGAGATGGTTCAGAGGTTAGGAGCACTGGGTGCTCTTCCAGAGGTCCTGAGTTCAATTCCCAGCAACCACATGGTGGCTCACAACCAGCTGTAATGAAATCTGGTGTCCTCTTCTGGCCTGCAGGCATACATGCAGGCAGAACACTGTATATGTAATAAATAAAAAATAAAAAAATAAAAAAACGATTAAAAATTAACAACAACAAAAAAGGCCAGCGAAGTGCCTTAGCAGGTAGAAGAATTCCTCTCATTTAGGCCTGATGACCCAAGGTTGATCCCTGGAATCTCCAGTATAGCAGGAAAGACACCGAGTCCTAAGAGTTGTCCTCTGACCGCCATACATGTGCTATGGCATGTGTATGTGCATTTGTGTGCATGTACACACACAACTTAAAAAAATGACAACAAAAACTCTCTTACTATTTCTCTCCTTCAGCTTAAAATCTGTATTTAAAAACATAATATTTCTCTGGGAGGGAAGAATTTCCTTTTAGGTTGATATAAAGTCAAGACTTAAGGAATGCTTTAGATGCCTTTCATGTGAATTGTGGGAACATGTGTTGAGATGTCCCTGCCTTTTTCACCAAGGAATTAAATAGGCCAGATATCTTTCTTTCTTTCTTTCTTTCTTTCTTTCTTTCTTTCTTTCTTTCTTTCTTTCTTTCTTTCTTTCTTTCTTCCTTCCTTCCTTCCTTCCTTCCTTCCTTCCTTCCTTCCTTCCTTCCTTCCTTCCTTCCTTCCTTCCTTTCTTTCTTTCTTTCGTTTTATTTTTCCCGAGACAGGGTTTCTCTGTGTAGTTTTAGTGCCTGTGCTGGATCTCGCTCTGTAGACCAGGCTGGCCTTAAACTCACAGAGATCTGCCTGGCTCTGGCTCCCGAGTGCTGGGATCAAAGGCGTGCGCCACCACCGCCCGGCCAGATATTTTTATCAAGAGAATTCCCAGTGTTTAGAGTGTAAAGTAAAATGTACTGTATTATGAAATAGTAGACATCCATTTGTACATATGTAACCGTGGCCTTTCCTCCTGAGTTCACTGGTCTAAAATAAAAACAGATGACACATACATAGCACATATCCATAATTCCGTGAATTGTAAGGAGTAAATAAATGGATATTTTTATGACAGTTTATAAATTCATCTACTATTTCTTCTAGAATAATTGTAAGCTTTTTCTTTTACAAGTAATAATTTTTGTTTTCTAATTAGTTAAATATTTATATAAATTATATAAATAATTAAAAATTAATGAATTAATTTGAGACAGGGCCTAATGAACCTTAGGCTGGCCTTAAAGTCTTTGCAGCCAAGGATGGTCTGAAACTTCTTGTCTTCCTGCCTGTCTTCCTTCCTGCCTCTCAAGATCTGGGATTACAGTTGTGTAGTACCGCACTGTATTCACACAGTGCTAAGGATCCACCCCAGGGCTTCCTGTGTGCTAGGCAAATACTTGACCAGCTGAGCCACATCTTTAGCCTTAGAAGTGATTATTTTTATTTTCTAAAAATTTAAAAATTATATTTGGGAGGTACTGGAAACTCTGGTTAGTCTAGCCTTGCTGGAGGAAATAGGTCTCAAAACAACAGCAACAATAAAAACAAATGAAGAGAAGAAAAACAAGATGCTTGGTGATAATTTGTCTACACCGGGACAAAGGTACTATACATTTACACACATCCTTGCATATACAATAACCTGAGACTATGTTAATATAGGTACATAGAAACACCATATTCTGGGCAGGGAATAGGATGGCTGTGGTTCACAGGTGGGAATCATTACCACAGCATCTGTGTATCACCCACCAAAGCATTCAAAACATGAAACCCTATGTGCTTTGTTACAGGAGGGGGAACTTCATTGAAATTGCTTTGAAAAGGAATATGCTACTTAAATTGTTTTCTTTTTTAGGAATTGATTATGGATTAAGTTTACCACTTGGAGAAGATTATGAACGGAAAAAACATAAATTAAAAGAAGAATTGAGGCAAGATTATAGACGCTATCTTACTCAGGTAAGACATTCTATTAATGAGTCGTGTTTTGTCTGTTGGAATTTATCCCTTAAATTTACTTTTGGGAAGTGTTGATCATATGTGATATCTGGTCACCTAGTGTAGTCAAAATTAATTATTGGTGGAAAAAAGGTGGGAATTTGTGCTGTGGAGTAATAGACTCTTCCTGGAGCTTTGTAGTTCAGCAAGGCTCTGGATTTAGTCTCCAGCACAGGAGAGTGTTTCCTAGGGAAATGGATTTTAACACTAACGAGATTAACCACTGTAAACAGTGGTTGTTTGTTTTCTGTAAAGCTATCTGCGTCTAAAGGAGCATTTCCACTATTCCCCACAGGGTATTCAAATGACATGAAGCATTTTAGTTACTAATTATCTTTTTATTTGGTAAGGTTATACATTTTCAGTTAATAGTCTTGTTAACTGTATTCAGTCAGGTTTTTTTCATTACTGTGACAAAATATCTGTCTGAGAGAAAACCCTATAAGAGAGAGAAGATTGGGCCGGGCGGTGGTGGCGCACGCCTTTAATCCCAGCACTCGGGAGGCAGAGGCAGGTGGATCTTTGTGAGTTCGAGGCCAGCCTGGTCTACAGAGCGAGATCCAGGAAAAGGCGCAAAGCTACACAGAGAAACCCTGTCTCAAAAAAAAAAAAAAAAAGAGAGAGAAGATTTTCGAGGTCCAGGCTGCAGTCAGCTGACTCCATTGCTGTGGACCTGTGTAGGAACATGCAGCAGAGGCAGGTTGACATATCATGACAGGCAGGAATCGAAGATTAGACAGGAAGGGTCTGGGCAGAAGATACAGCCTTCCAGTTGACATGTCCCAAGTGATCCATTTCCTCCAGCAAGAGCCTTTTGGGACAGTTCATATCCAGATCTTAATGGCCACCAACAGTTTTGCTTTATGATTTAATGTTTTATGTAGCAGAACCCTTTTGCAATGTCAGATTAGTTAAGAGTTAAATTAGAGGCTTATGATGCAATTTTCTTTGTAGGTTAGAAAAATATTTAGGGGTTGGGGATTTAGCTCAGTGGTAGAGCGCAAGGCCCTGGGTTTGGTCCTCAGCTCTGGAAAAAAAAAAAAAAATTCAAGCAGTCATGTTTCTAGAGTCCACATACTCTTGGCCTTTCCATTGCTTTAGAAATACTTGTTTCAAGCTGTCTCTGACTTGTAATTGGAAAGAACAGACCTTTACTCAATACGTCTTATCAACGGTTTGTTTCTCTTGACTTTAGGGCATTACACAAGCAAAAAGAAAGGTAGGGTTGCCTGCATCATGTTCTCTTCTAGTTTGTGTATAAGAAGATGTGATAGCTTGTAATCATGTGCACTCAAGTGATTGAAATCAAGTAGAAAAACAGCTTCATTTGTGTTTTTGAGACTTCTGAGTGGCACTGTTTTGACAATCCACAATTACAATTTTCTATTAATGCAGTCATTGTCTTGATTCTTGCTTTGTATTTGTTTCTGTTGCTTTCTTTATAAATAGCCTGAAACTGTTGTGTGCTTGCTTTTAGCATGTTATTTTTTGCTCCACAATTTATACTGATCTCAAGATACTTAAAAATGCTTTGAACTATGTATTGTCATGATTTGGATTACTAGATATTTTTGTACTAATCAGACTGATCACATTTGTTAATTTATGTTGGAAAACAGCACCAGTTAGTAGTTGTACAAACTATTTAAAAATAATCTCATATATTCTTTAATCACTCAGTTAATAGTTTAATACACTATAGATCCTGTCTTCAAGGGCTTTAGGATTTAGCTGTGGATATAATATTTCATTGAGATCAGAAACTACAACGAGATATCCTAATCAGTGGCAAGCATCATTTTATAAGGCATTACAGGATAGGAAGAAATTGGATATTCAGAAGGCAAAATAGAGTAGAGAAAACTTTTCAAATGGAGACTATAGACTGAAGAATGATGTGGACTTTTGGTTCATTTGAGACATTTACCAGCTTGACTAGATGGATGATAGCCTTTTTATAAAGTAGTGAGAAATGATATAGAAGGCTAGGATTTTGTTGTTGAAAGACAGTCTCTGATGGGCTGTGGTGACGCGTTGACTTCTGGAAATGTCCATGAAGAGCATAACTGCTTTAGAACAGTGACTTCAACCTGTTTGAGACTCTCACTAACTTAAATTCTATGCCTTAACTGAACTTGTACTGATTGTCCATTGTTCATGATGCTTTCCAGAATGATCTTGCGGCTAACTGATTTAAATATTTCAGTGTCTTTCTCACTAATTTTTGAATAAAAATTCGAATTCCTTAGCCTGACACACCTTTCCTGTTCTAGCTTGACTTCCTAGGCCTGTCCTGTATGTCATATCTTCCTCTTTTCTGCCTTTTCTTACTCCATAGAAAAGGAATGATAGGGGTGCTGGCATGCCTTGTAAAGATGTGTTTTCACCTTGTGAAGGCTGGCTACCAAATGTAGAGGGTACTGAAAGGTCAAAGAATGGAAGGCGGATCTTGGATTATACAAAGTATGAATTATTAGACACCGAGTCATATCTTAGGCAACAGCAAGGCAGAAGGAGAGGGATTATGTCTGGTCTAGCCAAAGGTGGACCATGTCTAACCAGCCTTCCTCAAAAATAGTTAACATGCCCAATATCAGTTAAAAAGCAATCTGGGGGCTAGAGATACAGCTCTGTGGTACAGCACTCACCTCTTGCAACAAAGAGCCGTCTGGATGGTGGCTAACACAGAATCCTCTGGGTGTTGTTACTTAAACAACTTCCCACCTGGCTTGAGATGATCACCCAATTGGCAGTCACAGCAATGATGGCTGTGGTCCTGTCAATCTGAATAGTCATGAGTGGGCATGAGAAGGAATTGCCTTTTTAAAAGAAAAGGGAGAGTGATCAAGGGAACAAGGTCTTTACATTACCATGACGGAGTTGTTTTTGTGATGGGTTATTAAAAATACAGTGGTAAAGTAGTGGCATTTTCTTCAAGCCTTTGGATGATACCTGGAGGTGGGAGTTGAAAGCAAGAAGATTACATTCGGGCAGTGGTGGCTTATACCTTTAATTCCAGCACTTGGAAGGAAGAGACAGGTAGATCTTAGTGAATTTGAGGCCAGCCTGATCTACAAAGTGAGTTCCAGGACAGCCAGAGCTACACAGAGAAACCCTTGAAAAACAAAACAAAATAAACAAAGCAAAACATTAATTTAACCACTGCCAGGAAGAGCCACTAAACAAATACCACTTTTTTCCCTCTAGTTTTTAGAATGAGGAATTGTTGGTGTTCTTACTGGGCAGACAGAACAGCTTTTAAATTGAGTCAGAAAATTAATTCCATTAGTCTATAGTTCTTTCTTGAGCCTTACACTTTTCTATCTGGCTGTCTACTTGATGTTTTCACTTTGAAATAGTGCCCACCTCTTGTGTTAAAAACAGTGTAGACCATGTCCAAACAGGAACTCGGGATTACCATCTTCATTCTCGTGCTATAGAAGCCACACTCTCCATAGCCTGTTCTTTTTGTTTGTTTAGTAATTTATTTTGACTATAGCAATTATGGCCTCCTAACATACTGATGGACACCAAATGGATGACAGAGTTATAGTAGTCACCTAGTATTTACTGAACAGATAAAATTCAAGTTCTTGTTGCTAGATGTGGTAGCACATGCCTTTAACCCTGGTAGGGGGAGGTGTTTGGGATCTATGCCAACCTGTTCTACATAGTGTGTTAGTTCTAGACCAGCATCAGGGCTGTAGCGAGGCTCTGTTTAAAAAAAAAGAAAGAAACAAAAAACAAGTTTTTGTAAAGCTATGTTATTCTTACTTATTTATTTTTTCATTTTGTTGAAAAATTCAGACATTACCCTAAACTTGTTTTGTGAGTGAGGAATGATAGCTTTTGGTTGAGGATTGGGATTTTTTTGTTGTCGTTGTTGTTCATTTATACTTCTTCGAAATGATTAGTTGTATAGTGTACTTTGACATGGTGATAAGCAGAGTTAGGATCCACTCAGTCCTTTGTCTTACCTGTTTTCTTTTGATAAAGAAGCTTATTAGACTCCCATAAGCCAGCTTTCAAACTAGCGTTTGTAACTTTAGATTTATTGAAACATTATTAATGCCTTTATTACTTTTTCCATATACAATCTTCTCATACATTCCATGTTTTTATTTTTTATTTTTTATTTTTTTGGTTTTTCAAGACAGGGTTTCTCTGTGTAGCTTTGCGCCTTTTCCTGGAACTCACTTGGTAGCCCAGGCTGGAACTCACAGAGATCCGCCTGGCTTTGCCTCCCGAGTGCTGGGATTAAAGGCGTGCGCCACCACCGCCCGGCTCATTCCATGTTTTTAATATAATGCTACTGAAGCAGATAGTATTGCAGTTGTTTATGTTTGTTTTGTTAACTAAATGATTAGAGGGAACATAAGCTTATCATTGTTTCCTTGACATATAAAATACTAATTGGAAAGCATCAAATGATCAATAATTGTTTAATGTGTTCATGAATGCAAAAAACTGGATAGCCTACACATGCTGATTTAGCTTTTATGATGTAGTGTTGTAGATGATATTGCCTGTTTTACAAGTGAAGGAACTGAGGCAGAGAAGCTAAATGACTTAGCTCTTTTGACTAAGAAGTAGTATCAAAAGATTGGTTTTCATTTGCTTTAAATTGTTCATAGAGACTTTATGTTTTGTATCCTGTTTGATCCTTACACTAACTTTGATAGTTGTGCAGGGCAGGCATCGTTCTCACTGTTTGGAAGGATGAGTGTCAGATGAACTGGCTTGGTCAGAATTGCCTTGTCTTGTAAGTGTGGCTGTTAGTTGGAGAAGCTTGAGCTCTAGGTCCTTGGATGCCCAGGCTGATGCTCAGCAATGCTCACTGATGCCACCTGAGTGCTTAGTGGACATGAATGGAGGGACACACAGCAGCAGCATTCACAGTTTCGTCTTTGGGACTTTGTGCGTATATTTACTTAGATGACTACAGCGAACAGAAAAAAACAAAACAAAAACACTGCAGGCATTCATAAAAATACTGATGAGGGAGTTAAAAGAGTGAAGACTCTATACCCAGAGGGGTAAAAATCGGAAAAATCAACCCTTTTCACAACTGTTATCACCCCCGTTCTAAAGCTGTATGTGTGTTGCAAATCTGAGTTAAAGCTTGAGCCTCCCTTTCCCGAAGTTGATTTGAAGGAATTCTGTTTGGTGTGCTTTCTAGATGTACAGTCTCTGACTTCATGTCCATCTCATCCTTCTGTTGTGCATTATGTAGCAGCGTAGAATATAGAATGTAAAGACAACTTTGAAATGTTCAAAAGCAATTAGCTAATGTATATTTTTAATGTCTATATACACAGAAAAATTTTCTATCTACGGGTGAAACAGACCCATCTACTCTGGGAGTTTCTCTTCCTATCGATGAGCGGTTATCTGCCAAGGTAGGTGGGTAGGAGTAGAGTTTCCTGGGGCTTCAAAAGCATGAGAGAATATCCTTCTACTTACACCATTTCTCCCTACTTGACTGTAGTCTTTCTTTAGAAAAGTCTATGGAATTTCTGGTTGAGTCATTTGAAAAGTTCTTTTGAACATTAATGATGTGATAGATTTCTTTAATGTGTTGATTGTTTTGCTGTATTTTATTTACTTAATCAAATAATTCAGTTTATTTTTTCCACATTGATATCTGAGCTACACATTTGTGCTTTGTGATGCAGTTATCAGTGACATGAATAGATGTGAGAGGCTAGTGTTGCTGAGCTAGCTGTACGTTTCTGTCACTCCATTAACACAATTCTTGTTTTGTAAGAGATGGTAGCAACATCGAGTAGTATGTAAGACAAAGTGGACAGTCACCAAGTTTTGAAAAGCAGACCTCATTTTAAAGTGCTCTTTTAGATTGTGGAGTTTCAGTGACATTGAACATACTAGGATTTAAAAAAATGTACTACTGCAATGTATTTGCATTTCAACAACAGTTCTGTTATAGTGTTTTAAATGTCTATAGAATTTTTACCATTTTTTTGTTTAGGAGTTCTTTGACCTAGGGAATAAAATGGTTAGTATTAGCATTTTGGTAGTGGTTTGGGGAATTGCAGAAAGGATATGTCACTGAGAAGCACTGGGGGAAAGGAATCAAGATATCTTATAACTGAAGTAGTACCATTCTGTTAGTGACATCACGTGCTAATGAATGGAAAAGCATATAGTCATGTCTGTTTGCATATGACAAGGGAGACTTGGGGAGCTGCGGTGCTGATGAGTCCTCTTCTTGTTCCTTTCAGTGGCTTTCTAGTCCTTAAAATCATTAGTAAAGCTGGATTTAGACTAAGAGCTCTGATTTGTATGATTCTGGTTTGATATTAACAGCTCCCCCCCCCCCCCCCACTGAAGTTGAGGTTAACATTGCCTTTCAATTTCTTTTTTAAGGAAAGGTTGAAACTTGAGCGCAACAAAGAATACAATCAATTTCTCAGGGGTAAGGAAGAATCCATAGAAAAGGCCAGACAGGTAGAAAAGAATATTGAGGTATGTTTTATGTTTATAAAGTGATTTTTAATATCATATGTATGAGTGGGCTGCTAGGATTTCATGTTTGTACCACCATCCCTGACTTTATTTATTTTATTTTTATTTTTTATTTTTTATTTTTTTTTTGAGACAGGGTTTCTCTGTGTAGCTTTGCGCCTTTCCTGGAACTTGCTTTGTAGACCAGGCTGTCCTCTAACTCACAGAGATCCTTCTGGCTCTGCCTCCTGAGTGCTGGGATTAAAGGTGTGCGCCACCACCGCCCGGCTTTACTTTTTAGTTTAAGTAATTTTAAAATATTGACAGTTTCTGGGTGAGAAATATATATACATATATCTATATTGCATATCAAGAGTTATCAAAACTGTATAATAATTGAATGAAGTTCTTTTTTAAAATTTTATTTTTTAAATAATCATTGTTAAAAATATAATTGAATAATTTCCCCTCTCCTCCCTTCAACTCCTCACATATTGTCCCCTAACTACTCTCAAACTCATGGCCTCATTTTCTTTAATTGTTATTGTTACGTATATACAATGCATAAATATATAATCTGTTGAGTCCATTTAATGTTGCTTGTATGTATATGATTTCAGGGCTGACCACTTGGCATTGGATAACCAATTAGGGGGTTCATTCCTGGGGAAGAGTAATTCTCTCTCCCTCAGCTGTGATTAGTTGTCTGTAGTTCTTTGTCTAGGGGTTGGGGCCCTTTGAGATTTCCCCATCTGCATTAGCATGTCGTGTGGTGTTGTCGTTGTTCAGGTCATGTTTGGGCAGTTGTGTTGCTGAGGTATCCTGAGTGTAGTGTCCTGTCATTTCTAGGAGACACAATCTCACTGCAGCTTTCTTGTTTCTTTGGCTCTTAGAATCTAATCTCTCTGTCCTCTGCCGAAAGATGTTCCCTGCGCTTTGGGTGGAGGAGTTGTGTATTAGATGTAGCCTCTGGGGCCAAGTTATTGGAGCAACTGTCAGCTGCTCTGCATTTTGATCAGTTGTGGTTTTCTATAGTGGTCTCCATCTGCTTCAAAGACAAGCTTCTTTAATGAGGAGTAAAATTTACACTTACTTGTCCACTTATAGATAAGTGTTTAGAATCTGGGAGGAATTCTGCGGGTTTAGTAAAGTGGTGATAGTAGGCTCTCCTTGAAGACCTCTGACCTCAACAGCCCTGGGTAGTTGTCTCAGTTTCTAGTACCAGGCGTGATTTCCTTCCTGATGAGTGGGCCTTAAGACCAATTAGACAGCTGTTGATTAGTTCCAAGATAGAAGTGCCACGATATCACCTTTCAGGATATATGGCTGGCCATGCTGGTTCATTGTTGTGGTCAATAGGTATCACAGCTGGATCGGTGTCTTAATTAGAGTTACTATTGCTGTGTTAGAACACCGTGACCAAATGCAAGTTGGGAAGGAAAGGGTTTATTCAACTTACACTTCCATATCACAGTTCATCATTAAATACAGTGAGGGCAGAAACTCAAGCAGGGTAGGAACCTGACTGTAGGAGCTGATGTAAAGACCACTGAGGAGTGCTGTTTACTGACTTATTCCCCAAGGCTTGCTCAGCCTACTTTCTTATAGAATCCAGGACCACCAGCCCAGGGGTGGCACCACCCACAGTGGGCTGGTCCTCCCCGACCAATCACTAATTAAGAAAGTGCCTTACAGGTTTGCCTGCAGCTGGCTATTATGGAGGCATTTTCTTTATTGTGGTTCCTTCTTCTCAGATGACTTTAGCTTCTGTCAAGTTGACATCAAACTTGCCAGCACAGTAGGACTTACTGGTTGCTTCCTTCCTTTGGCAGCCTGCATGGTACCTTTTGGAAATGAGAAAGCTGTTCCTCAGGGAGGAGGCTTTCAGGTCATATTCAGATCTAATCTTCTGACGTCTGAGGTGCATGGTGTCTTCAGCAATAGGTTCTTACTTTCAGCCTCTGGGAGGCAACCCAGTGCAACAGTGTATAATGTTTTGGGAGTCTCCTGGACTCCCCGAACAACAGCCCAAAGGAGGTATCTCATACCTGGTCCTGAGGTTTTTGTTAGGTAGTGTATGGCTCTCGGCGGGCATTGTCAGCCCAAGTGGCGTAACCTTTCAAGACATGGTCTCATTGTGTAGCTCTGGCTGTCCTGGAACTTGCTTTATAGACCAGGCTGACCTGAAACTCAAGAGATCCACCTGCCTCTGCTTCTCAAGTGCTGGGATTAAAGACGTGTGCCACCACCACCCAGCAAAGCTTACCATGTTTAGGAAGAATTTAATTTGAAGTACTATGTAAATATTAAAATATATCTCTTATGTCTAAAGCTAAGAATTTGCATTTAGTTGTCAGGTTTTTCATAGCCACTTACCCATTTTACTATCGCTCGTCTCTTGCTATATAATACAGTTTACTGCAACATAATTCTTTGAAATTTTTTTTTCCAAAAAAAAAAAAAACAAAAACTTTTTTGGCTCTTTTGATTAAACATCAAAGTTCAGATATAAATCAGTAAATTTTAAGGATAGTTATTGAAATTTTATGTAATAAAGACTTAGTATGACTTGAGATTTTAATATCTTTTATATGATAATGTCTCATTAAGCTGTTTTTCTTTTTTAATTCAACAGCCTAAGAGTCAAAGAAATAAAAACCCTGTTAGTCACGGCAAACCTGATCTACCTCCACAAAAACAGACTTCATACACACATTCAGAGGCCCCCACATATGAAGAGCTTCTAAACCGAAGACGTCGGGAGGAAAGCAGATATCAACAACTAGATGATGAAATTGAGTTAATCAGTAGAAGACTTCTTAAACAGACGAATGAAGAAGTAGGCATTTCTGGTACGAAACAAAGCTTTGCCAGCAAGGCTGGTGTTCCGGAGCGAAGAGCTCGAAGGGTTAATGCGGAGCAAGTGCCTGACAGACAGTACTATAGATCTGACCGAGATCTTGACGGCAGTGAAGAAATGGACGAGAGATTTAGATTTGAAAGTGACTTTGATAGAAGACTTCTGAGAGTATATCCAGATGAGAGGTATTTACATCTTCATTTTTATTCTCTTTATTTACTTAATATTGCTGTTAGTTTTATAAAAGCAGTTTTACTTGATTTACCATATTTGATTAATTCAGCCATACTGTCTGTTTTGTGAAGCACCATAATTTAAAATTAGGACCCCAAGGTAAAGCTAGAAAGTAGAAAGTGTATACCCTTAATCTAAAGTGAGTGGAAACATTCTCATAGAGGGAATTTCTTGTCTCAACTATGATCAAGTAGGGGGGTAAACAACACAAACCAAACAAAAACAAACAAGCAAAAAACCTCGAAGTCTTGTGTTCGAGTGGGCAGCCTAAAGCAGACGTTGATTAAGGTTCGAGGCCTGGATTCTGGTTGCCAGTAGCATCCAGAGAGACCTCAGGGTTAAGGACTCAGGTTGTCTTGGGTCACAGTTTCCCAGACGACTGTCAGGGATAAAACCCACTTCTTCTGCAGCAGGTTAAAGTCAGTTTGATAGCCAGCCTAATTTCAAATGGTGAAACGTAGGGAAAAGGGATATTTTACCGTGGGTGAAATACAGTTTGTGACTTAATGTTTGTACACCCTAACTGTCTTTATCAATGTATTTTAAAGACTGTTATTGGACTTTGATGTAATTCAAATGGTGTAAAACTCTTCTCAGTCAGATTTTCAAATGTTTTTTTACTTTCTTTGAATAACTGATTTTGTGATATTGTTTGGAATTTCTTAACTATAGGTCTTTGTTTTCATTTACCTTAATATTTAACTTGACATGTTTCTTTAACTATTAGAGATAGAAATGTCACAGAGCCTATCTCTGTCATTGGCCTGCTAACTTGATGGATTACATGTAAATTTTGGGACCTGTTTTGTGTAATGGTCTAAATATTCACTTTTTTAGTATTTTCGAAAATATTCTTGGGCTGCATTGTCAGTATTTTAGTTATTGATAACAATACAAAGCTTTCATTAATTCTCTGTCTTTAGTCTGTATCTTAATTTAAGTAATTTGAGTTCAAAATATAATATCTGGAATAATGAGAAATGTGGATTGCTTATTATAGTTTTCTATATGAGTATAGTTTATACTTCAGAAAATGCTCCAAACCCTATAGTATCTTATATTTGAAAATGCTTATATTTAAAGTAATTAGAACACCTCTCAATTTTGCAGCACTCCAGGCACTACTGGAATCTTGATGGTGTCTTCTCTGTACCTGAGAACTTTCTAGAACCTTTACTTTTCTCATTATGATATTTGCCTCCAGAATATAATGAAAGCATAATTTTAAAGTTTGGAATTTTATGAACTTATGACAATTGATGCTTTATTTTTCACATACGAGCTAACAAATCAATTAATTCCATTCTGATCACTTGAGGACTGCATTATTATCTTATGTATCTCATAAATGACCTTTCTCTGTCAACTTCCTTAAATAGTATTTTGAAATTATTTTATATAAGGTTGAGTTCTTACTCATTATCTCAGTTCTGAACACTACGTAAGTGTATGTTATGTGTTACTTATATTTTGTTAATGTATCAGCTGTCATATCTCAGTATGTTAGGCCATTTTTCATGTTTCTTGAGGATAATTGGGGTTATAACCACCTTTTCTTTCTCTTTGAGAAAAAGAATTCACATTAATCATTCAATAGTTATATTTAATGGGTATAGTTGTTAGTAAAAGAAATAACTCTATCCTTTAACTTCTATGATTTCCTTGTTCCGCACTTCTCAAAGTTAAATTTTTGATCGATTTTACTTTTATAGTGATGTTTTATTTTTATAATTTTGCTATGAGTTTCTTTTTAATTATCTTACAACTTCTTAACATACCTGATGTTTTATGAGCAGTATGTTTTTTCTTATCTTAAAGGTGGGGCAGTGAAAGATGTCCAGGAAGGGTTGTTTTCCTAAAGTCATTCCATGAATTGGTCAGTGTTCTTAAATAATTGACAAAGTTGTTCTTATTGGGACTAACGGTTTGTATTCTTTGTGTTTGTGTGTATGGTTTATGTGTACATACTAATGAGTAAAGTTGATGTTTAGGAGCTCTCTGAAGTTGAATGTAAATAGTTCTTTTTAATGATACTTTGAATTATAGACTCTTAAACTGTAGCCTGTGCTAGTCTTTATTACTTATTAACTGAGCTGTAGAGGTGAACACAATATCTCTTAGTGTTTTACTTAGTATTAACGAGTTAAGGAAGTTTTCAGTATTGTAATGCTGCGTGCAGTTTCTGTGTGACTAATGTGTCACACAGAATCACATTTCCATTCTATTTAAATTTTGCTAGTTGTATATTTATAATTAATAGACAGTAAAATTCTGAAATAATCTTTTCTTTTGAAGCCAGTGAGGGGACTTCACTCCTGTGCCACTGAACTGAGACTCAGTGCCTAAGGTTTTTCTTGAGGGCAGATTGTATGGACACCCCTTCCTAGCATAAGCTAACATCCCAGACTTCCTGTAGGAAAGAAATGTTTCTTTATAGCCTGTAATGTTTGTGCAGATAGTTTAGAGAGTGGCGCACTCGTTAGTCCTTAGCCTGTTGGACCTCCTGAGACCTGTGCTGTCAGGTGACAGCCGAGGGCTGGCTAGCAGCCCCGTCTGGTACTGTATGTAGGCAGTCTCCAGCCTGCTGTCAGACTGTCTGCACGTGGGTCCTCTAGATGCAGTGTGACTAAATAGAAAGGGCATTGCCAGTTAGGGCTGGAATTTGCTTTGAGTGGTAGAAAATAGGGGATGACACTAGATTATGTTACTTTAAAAGAGATCTGAGCGCCCATACTTCAGTTTACATAAAGCTGGCTTTTTATTTTTTATTTTATTTATTTATTTATTTATTTATTTATTTATTTATTTATTTATTTATTTATTTTTTGGTTTTTCGAGACAGGGTTTCTCTGTGTAGCTTTGCGCCTTTTCCTGGAACTCACTTGGTAGCCCAGGCTGGCCTCGAACTCACAGAGATCCGCCTGGCTCTGCCTCCCGAGTGCTGGGATTAAAGGCGTGCGCCACCACCGCCCGGCAAAAAGCTGGCTTTTTAAAAAAACGTTAAATTGAAGTAAATTTTAAAATGGTGTGTAGGGAACTGGGTTGGATATGGGTAAAAAATAGAAGCATCCCTGTTTTCGTGGCAAAGTCATAATGTTCTTAAGATTACCATTTGAGCTGATCCCCCAGAGAACTCTGACCATGCTTTTGTGGTGGAGACAAATGAGGATTATGATAGTCTGCGTCTTTGGAGAATTCTTTTCTTTTGCAGTGGAACGTGGCCAGTCCCGTTAATCTCAGCACCAACTTTACACTAACTATTGTATTATATTTCCTCAACCATACTTCTTTTTGTCTTCTTCAGAAGGAAAATATAATTCATTAACAGCCACATAAAGAAATATGACTTGTGAAATGCTGGTTTTTCATGGATGCTAATAAGTGTTTATGTAAAAAGTTATGCTGGTTTCTCTGGCGTGAGAAATTACATTTCATAAAAACAAATCAGTGTTTGCCAAATGGAAAAAGAAAGATAGGTGAAAATTTTTTTCACTTTTTAAATGATTGCTTTTTTTAAAGAAGGAAATAAATTCTAAACTTTCTTTTTGTTTATTATGACCTTATAAGTAAAGTGAAGGTTCCTCAGATCTATTCTGCATCAGACTGTCTTTAAAATGTTTTTTATTTAGCTTTTGGTAACATTCTTTCATGGGGTTTATTGTGTCAATTTTTAAGTTAAGAACTCAGTTTTATGTATTGTGAAATAATTCCCAGAAAGTATATGTCTGAATTAAAAAACAATTTTGTTTTAGTTTTGCCTGGAAACTTGGGTGTGTACGGGGGTTGTGTCTACTCAATGCCCAGAACAGAAGGTGCCCTGTAATTCCCATGTTAACCAAATGATGCAAGAATTCTACTGTGTTATCTTAGGTTAAAAAAAAAAAATTATATATATCTCGCTGGAGAGATGATTCAAAGGTTAAGAGCACTTGTTGCTCTTCCAGAGGGCCTGAGTTCAGTTCCCAGCAGCCAAATTGAATGTCTTACAACCTCTTCTAACACTAATTCTAGTTGATCAGACATCCTCTTCTGGCCCCCTCAGGCATTAGCAAAGACATAGCTTGTGTGCACACATGAAGGTGCATACAAACACAAAACACACACACAGACACAGACACAGACACTAAAACTTAAGTATTTAAACATAATATTAAAATAAAATATTCTAGAAGTTATATAGAAATAATTTACAGTGATCTCAGTTAAAATAGTATTAGGGACTGTGATTGTAGCATTACTTCCCCAGTGTATTGCTGTACACGAAAACAACAACAAACTTGACTTTCAACTCTCACTACATGTTGTTAATGCGCAGATATACTTGAGGCCACCCTGATTTGAATTAACTTTAGGATATGTTAACAGTAAATGTCAGCACAGTCCTTTGTTCGCTTTAATGCTGACACATGGGGCGTTAGAACCCTAGAGAGGTAAGAAGACCCACTGTGTGGGGGATGTGCTCTATAAGCTGATGTGTTTTTAAGGCCACAGGGAAACAGACAAAGGAATGTACCTCCTAGGGAGAATGAGGATGGTGTCACAGACCAGTCAAACGGACGGATTTCATCTGCTGGAAACACAAGGTACGTGATAGCAATTCTGTCCTTGAGTCTTTACACTCTGAAACAGTACCTGCCTAAAACTGACCTGAGGAAAAAGTAGAAAAAGCATAGTGTATTAACAGCCGTCCTTTACTAGTGGCAGGGATTATTGGGGAGAAAGGTGAGGAGGTATTATGGGTGAATATTTATGACATTTACTTTCAGCATTCTGTCTGTCCGCTCCCTTTCTCCCTTTCTTGTCTCTGTATCTGTTCTGGGGATTGAACATAAATCATTGAGCAAGGCAAGCACTTTACCACTGAGCTACATCCCTAGGCTTACAACATTCTTCAAGAAAAGTTTTTTTCTTTTCTTTTCTTTTTTGAGTAAAGCTTGGCTGGGCTTTCAGAGGAAGCCTCTCTCATTATAAAATATATAGTGCTCCCTTTGGCAGCATGTATACTAAAATTGGAATGATAAGTATATAAATTAATTTGAAATTATGAAGGCGAAATGAACATAATTTAATGATGTTATAATGAGTCTGAAACGTCTTGAAATTGTGGCTGGAGAGATGGCTCAGCGGTGAAGAGGCTGTTTGGTCTTGCAGGGGACTCATGTTTGAGTCCCAGCACCACATCTGGTGGCCCACAGCTGCCGATAATTACAGTGCTAAAGGAATCTGATTCTGCAACAGGCACACGTATAATGAAAAGTAAATCTTTGCAAAATATCTTGGTGTCATGGTACTGGAATTGGATTGAAAATGTCCCTGCAGTGTGACACTTTATTATTATTATTATTTGCTTGTTTTGCTTATTGGTAGAGTAGCTTTAATGCTTACTTTGTAAAATTAGTATTTGTTTCTATTGATAAGAGTTAGTAACTTTCTAGTTTTTTTTTCTTTGTATGTGCTTTTCTGTTTCATACATAAGAATGAATTGTTCTGTTCTTAAAAACTAAAACCTAAAAGAAACCACATGGACCAGCAAGATGCCTCAGCTGTGAAGGTGCTTGCCACTAGGCTTGATGACCTGAGTTGATCCTGGGAATCCACATTCTGTAGGAGAGACCCAACTCCCAAGGTTGTCCTCTGACCTCCACACTTGAATGATTCCACGTGCACGCTAAACACAAACAAAACATTTAAAAATGATGAAAATGTAAAGCAGAACCACATGCGGTCTGAGGATGTGGCTTAGTTGGTAGAGTGCTTGGCCATTATGGACAAAGCCCAGGATTTAATGCCCAGCACAGTGTCAGCAGTGTGGTGGTGCACACCTGTAATCACTACAGGTGGATTACACCTGTAATCCCAGCACTAGGAAGAAGGTGGAGGATCAGAGGTTCAGGTTCCTTCTCCTAGGCCGTAGAGGAATTCAGGGCCAACCTGGTGCGTGAGAGACGAGAGGATCAGGGAAGTGTGGGACAGGAGCATGAGAAGGTGATGGAGAACTGAATGTGATGGGACTATGTCATATGCATGAATGACAATATCCCAGTGAGACAGGGAGGTTTGTACAGTTGGTGTGTGCTGATATGGAAAACAGAATAAATGGTTCTAATACATAGTACGGTGAAGTAACAGTGTCTTTTCTTAGGAGAAATACAAAGTATAAACTATCCTTGGGACAGTAAGAGAACTTGCTGTTTGTCCAATTACATTTTCAAATTTGAGGGTCTGACTTTTTTCTTTGTTCCTTTTTTTCAAGAAATTTTGTTTTTTTAAAATCCTTTTTTCCCCCCAAAGGAATAATCTTTTCTAAGTGAGGATACACACACACACTTATTCTAAAAATTATTCTTACTGGCTAATTTCATATAAAAAGGATTTCAAATCTGTGGACCCAGTGAAACTGGCTGAAGAAAAGTTTTATATATATATTGGAGTCCCTTGGTATAAAGAAATAAAATACCATAGTTTTAACTAGCATTCTGAAAGAAAGGATAATTCACATCCCACTTTATTAATTGTTTTTATTCAAGGGTGCATGCATGTGTTTGTAGGGCCAGAAGTGGAAGTCTTGTGCTTTCCTCCATCCTGTGCCACTGTATTCTCCGAGACAGGACTTTCAGCTGAGCCTGGGGCTGGCATGGCTGGCCAGCCAGCCTTAGGGGTCCTGTCGTCACCTCCCCGGCTGTGGGACTGTGGACATGCACACCTCTATCAGCTCTTGTCGGTGTGTGCTGAGGGTTGAGCCCAGGTCCTCAGTGCTTTTCAAGTACTTACTCACTGAGCCATCTCAACTCCTAACCAGTTTTTATTCTTTGAGACACAGGGATTTTACATGTGGTTGAATCTTACTGTGTATTCCAGGCTAGCTTCAAACCCACAGTCCTTTGGCCTCAGCCTCCCAAGTGCTGGAATTAATGGTGTGCACCACCATTCCAGGCCTATATGTTGAATTTTGATTTCCTAAAATCACCTGGATTTTAATATTTGCTCGCTCTTATTGTTTTAGTGCTCAGGATAATGAACCACCTGAATCTGCTCATCGTGGATCTGCTGATCCCCTTATCTGTAGTCCCTTTGCAGGGATGCTCTTTGGTATGTATAGAAATTCCAGTTGATTAGACCTTGGCAGGGTGTTGAGTTAAATGTCCTTAGTGAGAACTCAGTATTGTAAATAATGATGCCTTATGAATAACAGCGGACAGTTACTTCATGCTGGGTACCATGCTTAGCATTTCGCATGCATTGTATAGAACTGTTGATACTTTTAAAGCTGTGTAACTTAATTGGCTCCATGGCTTATAGATGATAGGTGAAATTAGTTTGGGTAATAAGGTTTTATTTTTTTTCTTTTTAACTAGGACTTTATTGTACTGTGGATGTTTGTTTTTATTCTGTTTTATATGTGACTGTTGATTCTTTGATTATCCTTGGGACAGTAAGAGAACTTGCTGTTTGTTCAATTACATTTTCTTTAAGGGTCTGACTTTTTTCTTTGTTCCTTTTTTAGAAATATGGTGGTCCTCTGGAGGAACAGCTAGTGCTCTTAACCACTGAGCCATCTCTCCAGGCCTAAGTTAAGTGTCTTAACTCTTTTTCTTATCCAGGAGGTGAAGATCGAGAAGCTCTCCGGAGAAAGAAAGAGAAATATAGGCAAGAACTGCTGGAACAGATGGCTGAGCAGCAGAGGAAGAAGAAACGGTAATGAAAGGTTTGCATTTAGCAGACCGCACTTGTGTACAATGATAGGATGTGAAGAGTGAGCAGCACTATTTCCTAATGTTTCCAAGCCAATTGCTTGATTGCACATCACCTGCCTGTGCCTGTTAGATTATTGCTCAAATACTAACAAATTGTTTATCTTTGAAAACAAGAAATGGTAAGCATACACCCGTGCAGAATGAAATATAGCAAGTCACAGTGTTTATGTTGTATTCAACTCTGTTTGTAATCTTTATTTTTTCATTTTTTTATTATTTTTTCCTTTGACAGTTTCAGAAATGTAGCTAATGAGTTTTAATCCTCCTGACCACTGTTATCTTCTCAGTTTTCTTAAGTTATCTGTGAAGTGTTAATTAAAATTATGAATAAAAATCTTGGTTCTAAAGAAGTGGAGAGTTATCGTCTTATTCCTTTCCTTACCTCCAAGAGGAAGTTAGTATCTTAATATCTGCTATTAGCTATCTTAAAGTCCTTTTTTTTTTTTTTGTAGTGTTGGCCTTTGAACCCAGAGCCTTGTGTTGGTTAGTTAAGCAAGCTACTATTGAGATTTTCTTTTCTTTAAAGATTTATTTTTATATTATTTGTGTGAGTGTTTTGCCTGCATGCAAGTGTGTACACTATGAGTGTGCCTGGTTCACTTGGAGGCCAGAAAAGGGTGTCCGAATCCTTAGGATTGGAGTTACAGGTGGTTGTGAGCTGCCATGTGCATGCTGAGAACCTGAACCCAGGTCTTCTGCACAGCAACAAAGGGCTGTGACCTGCTGAGCCATCTCTCCAGCCTTATTGGCTTGAAAAGATACACGTGCTCTTCAAGAGATTTCCAGTTTTTCCGTAAAATAGTCTGTCTTGTTTTTCTCTTTTATTCTGTGTAAACTACTGTGTCTTTGAAGTGCCTCCAATATTCACTTTGAGATGTATTTTAAGGAGTTTGACATGTAATGTAGACTATGATTAAATTTGGTTTTAGAATTTTAAAGCTTTGTTATTAATTAAAGGAATTATTTGTATTTGGAGATTGATTATATGGACTTTGTGTGCAAATCTATTTCATTGATGACTGTAATTTTGATTGTGCATTTACTACAGTTTCAATTTATAAAATCTTAATTTTGTCTAGAGAAAAAGATTTACGACTTTCACTTGCGGCGGCTTGTGTACGCGGCCCTGAAAAATCGGTAAGAGTCTTGGCATCCTTCAGTGTTTAATCTTTCATTTAAATAAGCCTCAAGTGGTAGGAGCAAGTGAGGCTTAACACGTTGGGGTACCGTAAAAAGCAGTTCACTTTTAACAGTAGTGAACCAATTCTGTTCTCATATGTCAGTCATAACTTATGAACCACAGAAACGGTAGATGAAAATACAGTCCTATTCTTAAATATTACCCCGTTTTTAAGATGATTTTTCCCTTTTCATCTGTGTATCTTTTTTTAGAGTTAGTTTTGCTTTCTGTTCACATGTGCATGTCTGTAGGAAAATTATCTCAGTGTAACTTAATGCTATGTTTAAATAAATCTTGACCATTTATTGTTCTTTATAAGAGTAATTTCCAAAAAACCTGTAACTTGAGTCTTTTCATTTTGTTACTGTGAAACTAGAAGAATAATCATACTCTTTTTACTTCAATTTTGCAATTCTCACATCATTAAGTGGAATGACTCAGACACATCGTTGCAGTTAAGTAAGGAGGAGGTAACGCTTTACTGCTTTCCCACAATGCACAGTTTTGTTATTGGATGGGTAGTGTTTATTAGTTGCAAGTTTTTGTTTCTTCTGGGAATGATGGTTAAGACCTCTACTATTATTAAAAACTTTAGTTTTTAAAAAGGATCTAGCAAATCCTTAAATTACAATTACCTTAATTATTATTCAGCTGTAGACAACTTTGGATTTACTTAAGTATGTGTTTCTTGAGTTGTCTGCTTTAAAAAGTTTAGTGCCAGGACTGGAGGTGTAGCTCAGTGGTTGAATGTTCTTAGGATGTACAAGCTCCTGGGTTTAGTGTTTTATTCTGCTCTGGTGTCTCCCCATTTTGTGTTTCTTTTTCCTTCTTTTTTTTTTGGGGGGGGAGGGGTTTCAAGACAGGGTTTTTTTGTATAGCCTTAGTTGTTCTTGGCTGTCCTGGATCTCGCTCTGTAGACCAGACTGTCCTCAAACTCACAGAGATCCGTCTCCCTCTGTCTCCAAGTGCTGGGATTAAAGGTGTGCAACACCACTGCTCAGCTTTATGTTTCTGACTATTTGTATAATAGCAATTTTAATCTTAGAGATCATTCCTGAATCAGGCCTGATCATTTTCTTTTTATAAAGCTGTTTGAGAGGTTGAGGTAAGTTCAAGATCTCTGTGAGCTACAGAGTAAGTTCATAGCTAGTCTGGGCAACTTAATAAGACTCACAAAGTAAAGTAAAAAACAAAACAAGAAAATTAAAAGGGTCAGTACTACAGCTTAGTAGGAGAGCTGCTGCCTGACATGTGTGAGATCTTAGGTTTAGTCCCTGGCTCCCAGTACTGGGGAGGAAAAAACCCTTCCTGATCATTTTTGTCTTGCAGAAAAAAATGTATAGGGTCCAAAGGTAATCTTTTTTGTTTCCCATTAAATACCTTTAAAGTAAATATTGCAATAAAAAATTAACTTTTGGAAATTTGAGCTTTTTAATGTAATATGTTAACATGTTAAGTTTTATAGTGTTATAAATCTTATTTATTTATTCTGGAATTGAATCACCTGAAGAGCATCAAGTTGAATAAATATATATGAGGTAAAAGTTAAACATTATATTGGTGTTGAAATATTTAAAAACATAAAATGATACTCAAGTAAATAATAGTAAATGGCCCCTGGCTCATCCAGTTGTGGCTTTTTTTTTTTGTCAATAGATTTTTATTGCAGCACAGCTTTGCTCACTGTTCACGGTTGCCTGTAGCTGCTTTGGCACTGTGGCTGAGTCAGATGGTCGTAAGGAGACATCTGCATAGCCTTCATGTCCTCACTCTCTGATGCTGTACAGAGAGCATTTGCTCATGCTGCTCTCCAGGATACTTTGCTCTCACAAATGGCCGCTGAGTAGAGAAGTGCCTAGTGCTGTTCTGTAATAGAGAGAGCTCTGCACTTGAAGGTAACACCTGGGTGCAGTGCTCTTTCTATTTCTTAACCATGAGACAACGGCATGTGATTTATGTGCTTCTTGGGGAGCCTCAATTACCCACTTATAAATAAGAATCAGATCTTTAAAGTCTTTTATAGCTGTAAAATTCTGCTGTTCTGTAACTGTCTTAATTGCCTGCTGGGATAGAGGGTCCTTGGACGTCCTTGTCACCTTTAAACTTACGATTCTATATAACAAACAGGTTTGTTTGTTTGTTTTCTTTTTCTTTATTTTAGCCTGATAGACTAAAGCAGTTTAGTTTGACACCAAGACCCTTTGAAGAGATGATACCACCTGAGAGACCCAGAGTAGCTTTCCAGACACCTCTCCCTCCTCTCTCTGCCCCGTCTGCCCCACCCATCCCGTCAGTTCATTCCGCCCCTTCTCAAAATGAAGACTTGCACAGTGGACTCAGCAGCACCCTTGGTGAAATGGTGCATCCCAGGTGCTTGTTTAAATGTTTTGTGTTTGGGAATTAGGTAAGGTGGTGTTGTGTCTTCTGTTTAGAGGGTGAGCTGTGGCAGGTGATGGTGGCCTTCAGGGGATTTAAGAATAGTAACTTTGCCAAATAATCTCTTCCTATTCATTGTTATTGATATTGTTTTTCTCTGCTATTAGAAAAAGGAGAAATCTTTGTCTCTATCATTTAAAGAGGATTAAATTTTAGAAAATGAATTAGTAAGTACATGTTAGTATTTTTTAGGTCATATTTTTAATATCTTTTAGCATAGAAAATTTGTGCATTATTCCATTATTTCCACTTGGCAATCACTGAATTGTTTCTTCAACTTATTCAAAAAAAATTTCCAATATGGCACATATCTGTATGGTTTTATTTTAGCTTTGCTTCAGTTCTCTCTGGGCTTACTCTAGAGCTGTTGGGACTATAAATCTGTAATACATATTGAACATATCATTTCTATAGGTGAAAAGCATGTTATACTAATCTGTATGTTAAGAAAACCCTGTAACACAGATATTTTCTGGCCTACGCTTATTTTCTTGCCTGTGGTTAATATGCTAATTATAGGAATACGTTTCAATTTGTAGAAGTTTTTCTTAACCTTTTAACACGTATTTCTGAGATGTCTTTCCTTTCAGCAGGACTTGGTCTTTTTAATTGCTACTAACAAATTGTAAGGCTTTTCTTACAGTGTTTATCAGGTGCTTCTTTGTTTCCTTACTGACTTTCCTGCTTCAAAGACTGAGAGACTGGGAATGCGGGGCCGGGGCTGGCTTCTGTGTTGGCTTCACGATTGAATGGGCAGCTTCCCTGGACTCATGCAAACACGTTTTCTTATTTGTAAAAGTTGGTGATAGTAGTCGCCTACAGCTGGAGGTCGCTCTGAAGGTGGACTCTGCTGTGTATATTTACGGTTCAGGAGTTGCTGATCATCAGAGTCCTTTCAATCTGGGTTCATGATAGTGAAGTTAGATACACTGAGTGACTAATGAGTGTGGAAATTGCTCACTATTGAAGAGACTTGGTGCCGTGTTAGCCCTCCCAGGTCTTTAGGGGGACTATGTTAATACTCAGGTAACAGTCTAGAAAGCTCCCTTTTTCTTTCTGTTTCTTTAAAATAATTTGTTCTTGCCATTTTTATTATTGAAGCATACTATTCTGGTAGAGACACATAACTGTCTCCTACTTAGTAAAGAAATGTGGAAGTACAAGTTTTTATACATTTTAAGTTTATGAACTATTAAAGATTTTATCAGGACTGTATTGATTTTCAACTAATCACATTTTGGTTGACTTTCTGTGAAAAACCAGTAAGTTTTACATATAAAAAAATACCCTTTTGGACTGGGGAGATAGTCCAATCAGTAATGTACCAAAAAAAGCTGGGTGTTGTGGGGTGAGTTTGTGGTCCCAGTGCTGGGAGGTGGAGACTGGATACCCGGGGCTTGCTGGCCAGCCAGTAGAATTACTGAGTTCTTGGCCAATAAGCGACACTGTCTCAAATAAACAAAGTGGACCGCTCCCGAGAATTGATACGCAAGGGTGACTAATCACCTCTGCACTTGTGCATACACATGTGCACATTCTCTCCCACGTGCACGAGTTCCTGTATACTGAATGGACACACGAGCACCCATGTGGACACTTGCACTTCCATGTGGACGCATGCACATGCATAGCCACACACACCACACACACACACACACACACACACACACACACACACACACACACACTCTCTTGCCCACACAGAATCATTTGTTGTCCTGTGTCTGAATCTCTCACTCTTGTCATATACCTCAAGCATCCTTTCCTGGAATCTTGAAGCTTTCCTCCTGTCTCTTTAGAGACTGGACATCCTGCTTTTTACAGTTCCTTTAGCATTCTTTGTCTGCTTGTCTTATCTCACTGGATGCTGTCCTGTTGTAACATTGCTGAGGGGCAGGGAGTAGACCTTTGTTGATATGACACATAACTATTGGATATTACTCAATTAACTTCTTCTTATCAAAGTGTTTCCAAAGTTTTAAAATGTGTTGCCATTTGCTTTTTGATTGCTATTTTTTTCTTGAGCAATTAGTACAAGATTGATTTTTAATTTCAATAATACCTTTTACAAAAGATTAAAATATTTTGATTAAAAGTAATAAAATATGAGAATAATTTTTCATTTTTCTTTTCCTATAGGATTATGCCTCTGCCTCCACCTCCTCTACTACCCACTATGGCCAGTAACTATCGAACGCCTTATGATGATGCATACTATTTTTATGGTGCCAGAAATACACTGGATCCCAGTATTGCTTACTGTGAGTTTTCTATATTGTAAACATATTTTTCTGGTGAATTAGTAAGGATAATTGCTTTTATGGAAGCAATAGTATATAAATGAAAATCAGGTACATCTTTATTTAATTCAAGCATTATATATTTACTGACAATAAATTCATACCTAATATTAAATCCAATTTTATTACTTTGACACAGTACATGGCACGGATATTTTCTGAAGAAAAGAGATTTGTTTTAGAGGTCTAATATGCCCAAATAGCACATGTAGGACAGATGTGCATATGTGTCTGTCTTTGGTCTTTTTCACTCTTCCTGTAAGTTCACCATGATTAGTCACGGGGCTACAGTTTCTACTCTGTTAAATTTGTGAGCATAAAGTTTTATGAATTAAGCTCCTGTGTGCACTTTAGAGGACAAACCATAGCAATACCCATTTTAAAATCCAGTTACAGATGGAGGGAGGATTATGGGTTCAAGGCCAATTTGGGCTACCAAAGAAGTTCCCAATCAGCTTGGTTCATAAAGCAAGACCCAGTCTGTAATACGTCTTTATCTGTCCCACCAGCTCCCAAACAATGATAATGATACCGATACAGAAACTTCTTACTAATTATGAAAGCTTGGCCTATAGCTTAGGCTTGTTCCTAACTAGTTCTTAAACTTAACCCACTTCTATTAATCAATTTCCTGCCATGTGGCTCGTGGCTATTCCTCTCCTCCTGCATGTCCTGCTTCCTCCATGTCTCGGTGGCAACTCTGCCTTCTTCTCAGAGTTTCTTTCTCTTCCTAGAAGTTCCGCCTATACCTCCTACCTAGCTATTGGCTGTTCAGCTTTTTATTACACCAGCCACAGCAATACATCTTCACACAGTGTACAAATATCCCATAACACCAGTCTTAAAACCAAAATAAATCTAATTGTGCTCATAGTTATTTCCTTTTTACTCAGAGTTAAGAAGTAATTGTTTTATGTTCTCCTATGTTCTTTTGCTAACTCTTAACCCAGAAGGATATGCTGGTGCTTGGGAAAAGCATTCTGTACATTTTTCTTTAGAGATAAAGTGTTATTAGTAGTAAGTCCTCTGAAATAAATGTGTTCTTTTTCTCCTTTCCCCTTTAAGATGGCTCAGGAGTGATGGGAGGACTGCCTGCTCCTCATGTCTCTGCCCCTGTCACTCACCAAGTAGTACAGCCTGTCGTGTAAGTCATTTCTTAAAATCATATTTTCTTCTTTCCTCTACACAATATTAATCTTCTGCCTACCTGCTCTAGAGAGCACTTGCAGTAGTAGTTTTTAGTGTACTTGCAACATGACATAACCTTCTTCAGAATGCTTCTCATCCTTTTTTTTTTTCAAGATTTATTTATTTCTTATGTATACAGTATTCTGTCTGCGTGTATGCCTACAGGCCAGAAGAGGGCACCAGGTTTCACTACAGATGGTTGTGAGCTACCATGTGGGTACTGGGAATTGAACTCGGGACCTCTGGAAGAGCAGTCAGCGCTCTTAACCTCTGAGCCATCTCTCCAGCCCCCTGCTTCTCATCTTATAAACTGAACTCTGTACTGTGAAGTCAGTAATGGTGCAACTCCATTTCCTCCTGTGACATGCCCTGGCAGCCACTATTCTGTTGTCTCTGTGGCTCTGACTTCCAGTACCTCCTGAGGGATCGGACAGTATTATTTCACCTAGCACAGGCCTTTAGTTTTGCTTGTTTGTTTGTTTTTTTATTTGTATTATAACTTACGTTAGAATTTTCAAGGCTGAATAACAGTACATTGTGTGTCTACACCATTAGTTTTACTTACCCGTTTATCCACTGGCAGACATTGGAGTTGCCTTATCATTTTAGTTGTTGTAAATATGCTGCTATTAGAATCATTGTTGTATAAGTATCTTTCCAAGTTCTTATGTGTATATACCCAGGAATATAATTTTTGGGTCACATGGTAATTATTTTAAAAATATTTTGGAGGAACTGCCATATTATTTCACAGTGGTATACTATTTTGCCTTCCCATTATACAGTCCAAGATGTTAACCCAGAGAATGCTGCCTTACATGGTGGGTGGGTTTTCTGACCTCAGTTTACCTAATCAAGCCCATCGGCCTGCTCAGAGGCTGGTCTCCTAGATCTCATTACACTTGGCAAGCACTTTACTGAAAGAACGATCTCCCCATCTCTTCACTGTAGTGTTTTGTTTTGTTTTTTTTTCCTTCCTCCTTCTCAGTGCTGGGACACAGGTCCTTCTAAATGCTAGGCAAGCCTTCTGTTACTGAGCCACACTTCTAACCCTCAGAGTAGTTGTGATTTATGTTTCCTTATTGATTTAGTGATGTTGAGCATATTTTTATATGCTTTTGGCTATTTGTATCTTCTTTAGAGAAATGTTTATTAATCATTTGTTTGTGGTTGAATTGTAGTTATTTTACATTATGGATATTAAAACATTTGTGGATTGCCTTTTAATTCTGTTGATACTGTCTTTTTAGTTTTTATTTGTGTGTGTGTGTACGTGTTTTTTCATGTGTGTGTGTACACGTGTGCACACCCATAGAGGTGTCCACAAGGGACAGCAGTTTTGGGTCACAGGTGGTTGTGAGTGCTGGGAACCAAGCCTACGTCACTACTGCTTAGCTAAAGACACAGGTTGAATCCATTTGTAAGTTTTATGTTTTCAAAGCAGAGATGGGAGATTTTATGGAGGAGTCATTTAATTAAGAATTTCTTCAAGACTTTTTATTTTACTTTCTATTTATTTTTTTGAATGTGTATGTGCATGTGTACAAATGTGCCACAGTTGTATGCCACAGTATGCATGTGGAGTCCAGAGGACAACTTGCAGGAGGTGCTTCTGTTTGTGCCTGTGGTCCTGGGCACGGAAGAGTAGGTGCTGTACCCGCTGATCCATCTTGCTGGCTTTCTCCTTAAAGATGTAGGTGCTGTACCCGCTGATCCATCTTGCTGGCTTTCTCCTTAAAGATGGTTTTATACGCCAGGCAGTTTCAAATAATTGTTTTTGTTTTCTTCTAGAATTTGCTTGTTCTTATAATAAATTGATTCGAATTATTTATTTGATGTTAGGAATCCTGTTGGACAGAATGAACAGAAAATTTTAGGTGATCGCTTCATGAATTCAGGACTGATCTTTGAAGATAAACCAAAACCTTCCAAACAGTCACTTCAGTCTTACCAAGAAGCTCTGCAGGAGCAGGTATTCCTTCATTCATGTATTCCTTTGGTGTTGACTGAGTTATTTATAGCACAACCTTAGACCTTAGGAGAAACAATAACAGGCAATGTGGTAAGCTTTGACGTGGGTACACTGGAATGCTGTAAGAAACAGTAGTCTTACCTAGGACAGTTAGAGCTTCATATAGAGTGGATATTTGAGCTGCAGACATTCTTGGTATACTCAGGGAGCTTTATTCACATTATTTTTGTATTTCCCTGTGTCTGCTCCTAGGGAGTTGCTTATTTATGTATTGAGTGCATGTGTGTGTGTGGTTCTCTCCTTTTACCATGTGTTTTTTGGGTATCAAACTCTAGGAGTTAGAGTTGGTAGCAGGTTATATGACCTTTTGAGCAGTTTTGCTGGCCCTAGAGGAACCTTTAGTGAACTGTTATCAGTTCAGTTCATCCTGGAGGTGCTAAGGCTCTGAACCATATGGGGAGAAAGAGAGGATGTCCAAGAGACACTTCTCTGATCTTTCATGCACAGGGCATGGGTATAGGGGATAATAAAGAGCAGGGGACTTGACCATGATTCATAGTGTTCAAACCAAGGAGACTGAAGAGGCACACTGGCTTCTCTTGTAGTTTATATTGTAAAGAAAACTTTCTTAGAGGAGTTTGTAAGGGTTTCCCAGGGCCAAGATTCAAGGTGTAGGTCCACATTATAAAGTACAGTTTTTGTTGTTTTCTTTTTTTGAGGTAGGGTTTCATGTGTGCCAGGCTGGCCTTGTACTCACTTCTGTGATGAAGAAAGAATGGCCTTGAAATCCCAGTCCTCCTGTTTCCTTCTCCCTCCTTGGTGCTGTCCTGTTTATGTGGTACAGAGGATTAATCTTAGGACTTTCTAGGCAAGGACTCTACATTCCTAGTCCTTTGTTAATTTTATATGAACATATTTATCATTTTTAATTCTGTGTTTGTGTGTCTGTGTACATGAGTGCTGATGGCCACAGTAGTGTCAGATCTCCGTGGAGCTGGAGTTATAGGCAGTTGTGAGTTGCCCTATGTGGGAATCAAGCTTAAGTCCTTTGCAAGAGCAGTGCTCACTCTTAACTGCCCCAGTCCCTTGTAAAATACTCTTATTCACTTTTTTTTTTCTTTTTCGAGACAGGGTTTTTCTGTGTAGCCCTGGCTGTTCTGGAATTCACTATGTAGACAAGGCTGATCTTGAACTTCCAGAGATACACCTGCCTTTGCCTCCCAAGTGCTGAGAGATTAAAGGTGTGCACCACCACTGCCCAGTTTTTTTTTTTTTTTTTTTTTTTTTTTTTTAGACAGGATCTCATTGTGTGTATAGCTGGCCTGGAACTCACTACTGTACCCACAAACTCAGAGAGATCTATCTGCCTCTGCCTCCCAAGTGCTGGGATACAGATTTGCTCGTTATGTCCTTAAGCTTCTCTGAATTTCCTCAGTAACTTTGATAATGTTTCCACTTTCAGCTCTGATTTTTAAAATTTGACTAAGGATTTGCCAATATTGTTAATCTTGGCAAATGAACCGACTCTTCATTCCATTAATTCTTCTTCTTTTTTTTTTTTGATAAATTTTTTGATAATTTTATCCCTGACTAGAATTCTCTCTTCTTGTCTATTCTTGTTTTTCCAAGGTCTTCAATTACATCATTAAGTTATTGATGAAAGCTTTCAGTCATTTCGTGTATTCATTTAATACCATAGACTTTCCTCCTAGGACTGCCTTCATTATATCCATAGATTTTGGTATATTGTGTCTTTTTTTCATTAATTCTAGAAATTAAAAAAGAATTCCTTCTTAATTTCACCTTTGACCCAATTTTCATTCAGTCGTGTATTGTTTAACATACACAAGTTTGTGTACTTTTTAGTCAGTGTTATTCTCTTGTGATTAGATGAAATGCAGTATGTTTTTTCAGTTTACCTAAATTTGTTTAGACTTACTTTGTGTCCTAATATGTAGTCAATTTTGGGGAAAGTTCCATGGGCTGCTGAGAAGAAAATGTATTCTTTAATGTTTGGGTGGAATGTTCTACTGTAAATGTCTTTTAGATCCATTTGATTAATGGTGTCATTTAATTCCAGGCTTTCTCTGTTTTGTTTTTGTCTAGAGGACTTGTTTCTTGGTGAGAGTGGAGTACTAAAGTCAGCCACTGTCACTAATTGTGTTCGGTCTGTGATCTTAGAGGAGGATGCCATTGGGCTTAGTGTCTCAGTGTTCAGAATTGTCGTATCCTCTCGTTGGATATTTCCTTTAGTGAGTAGGAAATGTCTTCTCTTTGATTAAGTTTGGTTTGAAATTTATTATTTCGTCAGATATTAAGCTAGCCAGACCTGCTTGATTCTTTGTTCCGTTTATTTGGAACAATACCTTTTTCCATTCTTTCATCAATGATGGTGTCTGTGGTTGATGGTGAGGTGTGTTTCTTATAACAAGCAAAAAGATGGATTCAGGTTTTTAATCTAGTCTGTTAGTCTGTGTCTTTTTGTTGGGGAATTGAGACACTTATTATTGGGAGTTAATTTTGATCAAAGTTTACTAATTCCTGATATTTTGTGGTGCTGTTTTCTTAGACCTCTCATGGTCAACTGCATTGAGGTTATTTATTCCCTGTACTCTTGGGTGTGCTTAATCTCTTTAGACTGAACTGTTCCTTCTAGTGTCCTCTGTAGAGCTGACTTAGTGGACATAAGTTCTTTAAACCTAGTTTTATCACAAAGTGTTTCTCCTTACATTATGACAGTTTTGCTGGGTATAGTAGCCTGGGTTGTCATCTGTATTCTTTCAGAACTTTCTGTCCAGGGCCTTCTGGCTTTCAGACTCTCCATTGACATGTCAGATGTTACTCTGATGGACCTGCCTCTGTAGGTAACTTGGACTTTCTCATTTGCAGCTTCCAATATCCTTTCTTTGTTCCTGGGGAATTTCTTTTCTGATCTTTTATGTTTGGTGTTCTTTGTGTCTCTCATCCCTTGATTAATACCTTTTCCCTCAGATTTGAGAAATTTCCTTCTATAATTTTGTGGAAAGTGTTTTCCTATGCCTTTGATCTGGGTTTCTTTTCCTCTGTACCTAATTTGTATGTCTGGTCTTTTTATATATAGTGTTTCAGAGTTCCCAGGCGTTCTGTTCCTGGGGTTTGTCTTTTTGATTGTTTGTTTATTTTTAGATGAAATTTGGTCTGACCAGAAGGTTTCTTTCCTCTAACTGGTGTTGCAGATCTGCTAGTCTCTCCCCCTGACTCCCTGTTGGTGGGACTTTGCACTGATCTTTTGTTGGAGAGTCTATCTTTGTGTTAAGTTACATTTTCATTGTTTCATGCAGGTGCTCATTTGTGCTTTTGCAGACTTCCTTCAGGCGGCTGCTCATGAGCCTCTGAGTTCCTTGAGTTACTTGCAGTGGCTGTTTTGAAGTCTTGGTCTTGTCTGTCAGCTAATTCGCTTTTCTCGGGCGTAGGGTGGATTGCTCGTTTCTGGAGGAGACATGCTGTCTTGGCTGTTCATGTTTATGCTTTTTTGATGGGATCTAGGCATTTGGAGTTAGATGGCTAGTGGTGTTTCTTCATATGGATAGCTGATCTTGCCTTTATTGGTGTGTGTTTGATCTTTGCTCTTGCCCCAACTTGTCAGATTATAGGCCCGCTGAGTGGTGGTTTGTCTTCAGTTTGGGCTGTTGATATGCAATGGAGTTGTCAGTGTTTTTGCCTAGGGAGGAGAGGGGCAACTCGTGGACCCAGCTGTAAACTTCCTCTAGGCCTAGATTCTTGCTGCAGAGCTCAGAGGTATAAGAGAGCTCTCTGGAGTCTACTGGTGATCCTTAGGTAGCAGATTGGGAATCACGGTGAGTGTGGGCGATGCTCTGTGGGGTCTCCATGCTGACCTTCAGAGTGGGTTGACTGGTGGGCCCGGAACTGGATTTAGCAGCCCCTACCTAGAGTCCAGGTCACAGTCCTCTAGGCTGTCCAGAATGGCTGGCTGATAGTAGAGGGAGTGGCTGATAGGCAGGTGGGACTTCCACTGGGTCTAGGACTTCCGGGTCAGTCCTCACTTGATCCTGGAACAGCACAGTGTGTGTGATGTCTAAGGGGCAGGAGGTCCGGTGGACTGGATGTAGGGCTGGTGAGGGCTTCTCCTTGCAGTTCATGTCAGACCCCTGCATTTCTAAATGAGCATTCTTATTTGTGAATTCTTATTCTTAGAGTGAAGAAGTGTACTTACAAAAAATCTGTATTTTTTTTTAACCAGAAAAGTTAAATGATAGTATTACTAGTCTCTTGTTTCAGCCTGCTGTAAGTCAATATTTACTTTAAACATTATCTTATGTTGTCAAGATTCGGGAAAGAGAAGCAAGAAGGAAGAAAGAACGCTTAGAAAAAGAAGAATATGAAGCAAAATTGGAGGCTGAAATGCGAATTTACAACCCCTGGGGGAAGGGCGGAGGTGGCGCTCCTCTCCGAGATGCCAAAGGAAATCTGATAAGTATGATGTGTCCATGAATTTGTTTTAAATGCATTCTTTCCAGTGTTTTAAGAGTGGAGAATAAAAAGACGTGGGAATCAGACTATATAATAAGGGTCTATTTTATGATTTAATGTGAAGATGCTCTCCTGATTATGAATGTAATATATGTTACAAAGTCTTTCTTCTGCAGAATAATAAATACATTTTCCATTCTCTGATAGTCACCAAACTGCAAAGAATAATTCATGTTAGTCGGTGCTTATCCAGACTAGTATTATACACACACACACACACACACACACACACACACACACACACACACACAGTATGTATATATATCTATATAGTATATTAAAGTATAGTCTCTCCTTTTTACTGAAAGTATTAAAACTTTCTGCAAGTTTATTTTAGACTAATAAAATTGCAAATAGATAACTGAAGTAGTTGTGGGAAGGGATCTGCTTTGAATTCATATATGGAGTATACTTGTTCAGTATATGACTTCTTTTGCACTGGGGGCATCTTTATTTCAGAGACTCTGGCAAGTTTCAGAGTTATAATCCTTCAGTTATTTATTCTTTTGTGTTTGCTTGGTGTGGTGGCACAAGCCTTTAATCCCGACACTTGGGAGGCAGAGCTAGGTAGACCTCTGTGAGTTAGAGATAGCATGGTCTACGTAGCAAGTTCTAGGCCAGCCAGAGCTACATAGTTTATAAACGTTGTTACCTACATTAAAATAGTTTTTGCCAACTCTGGCTAAGTAGAGTAGAGTTAAGATAGTGTGGGGTTTAGTTAGAAGTGACTTAAAGGCTAAAGAGAGGACCCATTAAAATGCTGAAAGTGCTGTCAGAATTGGGGGTATGCAGAACTTAGAATGCTTTTTTTTTTAAATTTCTTGAGACAGGGTTTCTCTGTGTAACAGCCCTGGCTGTCCTGGAATTCTCTTTGTAGACCAGGCCGGCCTCAAACTCACAGAGATTCACTTGCCTCTGCCTCCCGAGTGCTGGGATTAAAGGTGTGCGCCACCACCGCCCGGCATGCCTTCTGTTCTTGTGTATATTTCAGGTGTATTTGAGCCCACTTAATAAGGTGACTCTTTCTCCCCCCTAAATTATTTTTTCCCTTTGTATCTTCATATCCTCATAGGTTTAGAAGACCAGAGCCCTTGGTGCCTTTTCCTAATAGATGAGGTTATTTTAAATGTGGCCTACATTTCTTATTTGAAGTGTGTATTTGAATATGTTAGAAAAATAATTTTCATTTACTTACTCAGGATACTATAATAGTCCCTTATTTATCGAGGAGTGCCATGCCTGTCTCAGAGGCTTACGGCAGAGCGAGCTTCCTTCCCAGGTCTGTGGCATTCTGATTCTGGTTGCTGCTTCTCCAAGAGAGGGACCTCTTCATTGAGTCACTGCTCCATGTTAGAATCCCTTCCCTCTCGGCTGCACAGTGTGGGTCCAGGAGTAGTGAGGATGAGTGGGGGATTCTGTTTATCCTAGCCTAGAATTGGAGGATCATCTTCTCTGCCCTCGTTCTGCTGGTCAGCTACTCCCAAGAGCTCCTGCTCAGGGGCGGCAAGTTTACTTTTCCTCTTAGTGCCCAGGAGCAGGCCTGGGGTTGATGAGTGTGTGGCTAGTTGTTAGCTTAAGGAAGTTGGAGTCATGAGTTGTCAGAAATACCGTAGCTAATGTGGAGGACGCCCCATCAGACATTGGGAGCAGAGTGATTCAGAACTTTCCAGGAGGCCTAAAGCAGTATAATTATGGGACAAGTTTGTAGTGAAGTGTGGATTCTTGAATTGTAAGACACTGCTTTAGAATTGCACCCTGGAGGAAATGAAGACAGTACCTCTGAGGTTTCTATGTTAAGTAGTAATGTTTATCTACTTTATGTTGCAGTCATCACATGAAACAGAGAAAATGGATTTTGTCAAGGACAGTGAAACTCAAAATACTGTATTCAAATAACAAGTCTTTACCTAAGAAGTGTCAAGTTTTGTATGTAGGTGTTATATTTTAGAGATGGGGAAACATGACTTCGGTATTGTATTGAGATGTTCAGGGAAGCGTATTGTGATGACCAAGGTGTGTCCTATGTACTTATAGCTAACTAATTCTGCTGCTTCCTCATGGATTTAACTCCTTTTGTTTACTTTTGGTCTTCTGATGGAGAGAAACTAAGGAATGTGAGTCTTCACTTCTCACCCCTAGGTCTTTTAAAGAGAATATACTTCTTAATGAAATAAAGCAGAACAAATTGTTTTTAAATAAACACCTGTTTTAATTGTTTGTACCCACAGTTCAGTGTTCTTTATTCACTAGAACTCTCTGTCTGTCTGTCTGTCTGTCTGTGTATTTTTGGTTTTTCACTGTGTAGCTCTGGCTGTCCTGGATCTTGCTCTGCAGACCAGGCTAGCCTTGAACTCATAGAAATCTGCCTGCCTGTGCCTCCCGAGTGCTGGGATTAAAGACATGCGCCACCACTGCCTGGCCTAGAACTCTTTAAGGTCCTATAAAAGCTAAGCTATTATAAGATGTGTGAGTAGGTGAATGGACAAGCTTATTTATCATGTGTGTGTGTGTGTGTGTGTGTGTGTGTGTGTGTGTGTGTGTGTGTGTGTGTGTTGGGGGGGAGCTGCTTAGCAATACAAAGGAATGAATTGATTGGTGCACATAATTTGTGAAAGTCAAAAGTTCTGATAAGGAAAAGATCCATTCTGAAAGTTACCTTTGTACATTTCTATTATGTGATGTTCTCAAAATAACAAAGTTATAAAGAACATGCCCAGTGGGTGTAGGCTGGGAATATGACTAATTATAGATAGCAAGATGGGTACGTTTGGGTGGTGGAGCTTCTCAAAAAATTAACTGATTATAGTGATGTTACTTGAAACTACATGTGATAAAATTTTAAAAACTATACTGCAGTGATTCTCAACTTTGCTAATGCTGCGGCCCTTTAATACAGTTCCTCATGTGGTGACCCCAACCATACAGTTATTCCACTGCTACTTCATAACTATAATTGTGCTACTGTTATGACTCATAATGTAAATATATAATATTCAGGATACCTGATATGTGATCCCCAAAGGGGTTGAGACCCACAGGTTGAGAACTGGTGCTATACACCAAAAGAAATATGTGGATAGCAGGAAAATTAAACCTCCAAAATGAAACGTTTGAGCCCTTGAAAGATGCCTGGCCATCTCTCAGTCCTGGTGAGAGGGATGCTAACTATTCTGTCATACATGTTTGACCAAGTAATGCCTTGTCTTTACCTTATGTCTATTGAGGTAAAACTTGCATGTAATAAAATGACTCTTTTAAAATTTAGTGAGGTTTGACAGCTGTTCTGAAATAATTTCTCCCACAGTCAAGATGTAGAGCTGTTCCAGAACTGCTGGAAGGACAGTTGCCTCTGTCCCTTTATGGACAGTCCTCTTGTAGCCTGTTGCCCTGTAAATCCTGGGGTGTTGCCTTTTGACTTCGATAATTTTCTTTCAGAGTAATTTTGTGATATTCTTTTCTTTCTGTTACTGAATGGTGTTGCATTGTTTTGAGGTACTGTATATGCTAACAGTTGATAGATTACTTGAGTTATTTCCAGTTTATGGTCATTATGAATAGAATTGCTGTAAGCCATAGATTCTCAGCCTATTGGTTGCAACCCTTTTGGGGGTCAAATGACCCTTTCACAGGGGTCGCCTAAGACCATTAGAATACATAGATATTTATATTACGATTCATAAGAGTAGAAAAATCACAGTTATGAAGTAGCAACAGAATAATTGTATGGTTGGGGGTCACCCCAACATGAAGGACTGTATTAAGGGGTTGCCGCATTAGGAAGGGTAAGGACCACTGCTGTATGTGCTCATATACAGGCCTTTGTGAATGTGCACTTTTATTTCTCCCGGGTAGATAAATGCTTAGGAATAGGCTTAGTTGGTCACATAGTGTTTGGTTTGCTTGTTTTTGTTTTTGTTTTTTTAAATCTGTGTTTCAGATTAAAACTGTTTCCAAACTGTGCCTTTTTCAATAACATCAGAAAAGTGCAAACTTTCCAGTGCTCTGAACTCTCATCAGTTTGTGGCTCACAGTTTAGCCATTCTCAGGAATGCATAGGTATTTCAGTATTTCAAAGAACTTTTATTGTGAAATAACTTTAAAAGAGTTGCAAAGGTCCAGCGAGAGTACCTTTCAGTGTCTTTCCTTCATAATGGACATTTATGTAATCATGGCCCAATTATAAAAGCTAGAAAGAACATCAATACTGAACTGTCAGTGAAATTATAGATAGTAGCTAAATTTTGCCACTGTCTTCTTCCTGTTCCAAATGCTGTAATACATGTAGTTGCCTGTCTTATTTATTGGATCTATTTATTTATTTATTTATTCATTCTTGCCATGCGTGTGTGCCTGATGTGTAAGTGCTGCCACACGGCATATGGAGGTCAGAGGGCAACTTTGGGAGTCAGTTGTCTCCTTCCGCCATAGCGTGTGATCGGGAGTCCAGCTCAGGTGGAGGCCTGGGCAGCACTTGCTCTCACCTGCTAACGCTCTTGTAGGCCCCAGTCTAACCTGCCATCTGTGACAATTGTCCATGCCTTTGCCTATTTAAATCGACATGTGGGGGCTGGAGAGAATGGCTCAATGGTTAGGAGCACTGACTGCTCTTCCAGAGCACCCAGGTTCAATCCCCAGAACCCACAGCAGCTTGTAACTGTCTGTAACTCCAATTCCAGGAGACCCAACAACCATGACAAAACACCAATGTACATAAAATAAAAATAGATAATTAAAAAAAAACTACATGTGTGTGCATACGCTTTTGTGCATTTCCTGTACCACTCAGTCCATCCATCCAACATAGTGCATCACTCATTTGATTTTTTTTTTTGGGGGTTTTTCGAGACAGGGTTTCTCTGTGTAGCTTTGCGCCTTTCCTGGGACTCACTTGGTAGCCCAGGCTGGCCTCGAACTCGCAGAGATCCACCTGCCTCAGCCTCCCGA